AAACATGTTATCCAACTTTTAGGGGTCGAATTTTTTCCGAAACATGCATGCAGAAAAAGACAAGATTTATATAGCCCGCTCTAAATTCCCTAATAAAGTCTAAACTTTAAACCGTGACGAGTCTAATTTGGTAGGCTGCCGAATTTTGGCCAAGAAGAAATTAAATTAAATGTAGAAATGTCAACGAGAAAAATAGCTACAGGTATTATTATCGTAATTTAGCTCGGTTAAAAAAGACCATAAATAGATATGTATTATGTAATATGAGAAATGGTGATTATTGAAGACATGGATCAGTTATTAAGTGCAAAATATATAAATAATTTTTCTGAAATACAACAAGTGTTTCAATTAATCAACTCTCAAGTTGAGTAAAAAACTAAAAATTCAAAGAATTATATATAATTAATATATATATTTTTCAGGGTATTTAATGTGACAGTTTATTCTGCCCAAGACAACTATATATCTGAATCTGATCACTGGTCAAATTTATACAGTCTGATCAAATGTAAACAATGGAACCAGCTAATGTCGGCCCCATAAACATTACTATACTTGAAACTAGTTTTTTAGCAACAATTTTGACTTCATCAACATAAATCAAATGAGACAAAAAAATTATGGACAATAAAAAGGTTTAAAAACTCAAAATAAAGTAATAAACTGATTATTATTCAGTGTAAGATTCTGATTCTTGGGCTATACTACGTATGTGCTAAAAAAATATATGAAAAAAAGTACAATAAAATTTACCCACCAAATTCAACTTTTAGCATCTATTTACAAACATTCCCAACATAACTTCTAAATAAACCTCATACAAATCTATATGAGTTTAACAATTTTACCATTAATCCAATTTCTCGGGGGTTGAAAATGATAGCCCCTTCGACCGACTTGCTTAACGTCAACGGGAGGCTTCGATTGCAAGTGCATGAAAACATTGTGAGATGCTTGAACTCCATTATTTGATACTGAGCATAAATAAAGGATAAAAAGAGAAAGAAAAACAGCTGAAAACTCCATTTTCAGCTGTGATAAAATACAGCTAAGAGTAGTTAATGAAGAAAGAAGAAAGTTTGTTATGTGGAGAATTGATGAAGGATGAAAGGGTGCGAGAGTATTTATAGGCATAGAAAATGATTGGGGAGGGTTAGGATTGGAATATGCCAATTTCAAGAAAAGTCAATAGATTTGAAAAGTTAAATAAAAAAAAAAAAAAAAACTAATTAAAATGGTCTTTTGTTGGTGATTGGATAATTGGGTTGTTTTAATTTTCAAATTCACTATATGTCACCCATTCGTGTGAGATGATTGGGTGTGTTTGCTAGGCTGAGCACGGGTCTTGGAGATTACCGAATCGTACCGAAAACCGAACCGAATTTACCCCGAATCGAAAAATATCCGTTGACCATTTGACTATCTCCGAACCGAATCGTACCGAATTTTTTTTTGGTTCGGTTCTGGAGATTCATAAAATATCCGTACCGAGAACCGGACCGAACCGAAAATAACCGTACCGAACCGAGGAACCGAACAAGAACCGATTCCAATTCATAAAATCCATGTATATATATATTATATTTTATCATATGTATTTTTTTCATCTTTGTACATAATTGTATTCAAATAAAATCTATTATAATTTATATGTATTGTATATAATTAAAAAGCAAAATAAATTAATATATTCTTTCTATTACAAAATTTGATACATGTCAAATATTTTATTAAGAAAATCATTAAATACAACTTAATATAATTTGAATTCTGAATGTTTGGGAAACCGACCTTTATAAAGTAAGTCTTTCACAAAACTTGGAGAAAAGTTATTTATTTAAAGGTGATATATTCTAAAATAAAAATAAATTGAAATATATCTTTACCATAATATTAGATTAGGAACGGATATATCGATTATTTTATTAATAAAATTAAATATCTTCACTTTTTGAAAACAAACTTTATATGTACGATATCCGAATCTCACGATATCAGCCGAAAGAGATTAATTTATTTGGACATAATATGTTTCTAAAATATCCTTTTATTTCACAAGTAACTATCTTTAAATTGACCATTGTTGTTCATGTATGTCTTATCACTTGTGGATTTTGGCATATAAACGTTTAGCATATAAATCTTTCAAATTAAATTATGATATTTTGCAACTAAAAGATAATTATCACTTTTTTTATAAAATAAAAAAAAGTTAACCACCTATTCTAATGATTAATTGACGAAATATCTATTGAAATTAAGAGAGGTTTATGATTTTCTTTTATCCATGATATGTACCGTCTAACATACAATTTGGAGATTTTTATTAACAAAAAATAATAAAAAAAATTTGAAAAATCTCCGAAATCTCTGAAATCTCCGATCCGTACCGAACCGACCCATTAGAACCGAATCTCCGAACCGAACCGAACCGAAATTTGGTTCGGTTCGGTTCGGTTCGAATATTTGTTAGAACCGGTTCGGTTTCGGAGATCCAATTTTTGGAATCTCCGAAGTTCGGTTCGGTTCCGGAGATTTTTGGATCTCCGAACCGAACCGACCCGTGCTCAGCCCTAGTGTTTGCTAGGTGACAAAGTTTGAAATAATAATTAATAACTACTTAATAAGTGATAATGGTCAAATTAGTCACGTGCTATTCAAGCGTGTAAATTCTTGACTTTTCACTCTTTTNNNGTGTAAAATGGTGAAAAGTTGGATCTTGAAAGTGGAAATGTATGAGTTGGATCTTGAAGGTTTTGTTTGGAGTAGTTTTCTTGACTTTTGAATTTTACATGTGAAATGTATGAATAAGTTATTGAAAAGATAAAATATGAGTTGTAACTTGTAATATCTGTGTAGTTACGTGGTAAATTTTTGCTTGGTAAATTTTAATATTTTAGAACTTTTTTTAACTCCTAAGAAAACATTACCTAGTTTCTAAGTAGTAACTGAGATGAATAAATTTGTCTTCGAATTTTCAGGAAAAAAAAAAAATTCTGTAAGTCTCAGCTTAATTCCATATTGTACCATCATAAGTCATATTAATTTATTCAACATTGTTGCTATGAATTTCTTTAGAACAATGAACGCAATGTGCTCGAATAAATTGATTGTCGAAATTTTGGATTAAAGCCGCCTGGTCTCGAATTGCACGAGTTATATCAATGTGTAATGTTTAATTCACGAATCGAGTGCTCAAGATATTATTCAATCGAACCAAACTAATTTATGAATGATAAAAAAAAATTATGAAAAAGTCAACTAGATAGACCTCGTGAAGTATAAATACGCTACTGAATTTCAGTAAAGAGCACACAAATAAGTTGTTATTGGACACGGAAAATAAATATGTAAGGTTTTAGAAATGTAAATTAGTAAAGAAGAAAAAATGAAAAGGGAAAATTAAAGGAGAGTACAGAAAATGTGTTATTTAAATAACCACGTGTAAGCAACAATTATTGTGTATATTCGTTGACTATAAATAACGAATACAAATAACTTTCTATAAGTAATAAATAATCTTGTATTCTAGCTATGACTATAAGATTTTGCATTTTCTAACGAATACATCTATTTTGGCTTTTCTAACTTATTATTATTATTATATATATATATTTACATTCATAACATAGAAAGCAAAATCTAAAATGAGCATCCAATTTTATACCTTGTTAAAAAATTGAGTTAACTAGGAGAGTTGATAGTTTTTAGATCATATTTGAATCTAAGAGATGTCCAATAAATTTGTTAATTTGATTTTAGTACATGAATAGATCTTGCTAAAGTTTACAATATCCAGAAGATTGAAAAGTATTTAAACAAATACAGATGTATTAAAGATGGTGAAAATTAAAACACAAATTTTTGTATAAGACGATCTTTCCGTTAGATTGGTCGACCTATCATGCTTTTGTTACAAAAGTGCATACCAATTTTATGAAATGTCATTCTTTTCTTCATATCATTTTTTTAAGTACAATATTTTAGTTTAAAAGTAAAGATATTTGTTGAAACTATCCAGTTGCCTAATCGTTAGGTGTATCCAATCATAGTCACAAAATATATGCATAAGTGTAAGAAGATTGTAGAAAGCTACAACTGTTCTAAAAATCACACGTGTCACATTTGATGTACGATTTTAATATTCATATTTTCATGATAATATAGTTTTTCATCTTTGTTATTTTCTATAGATAAGAAATTAGGTCCACTATAGAGAGTCAACTTTGACTTAATAGAAAATTTGCTCGCTGTAAATATACATATGTGATTAAACGGATAATAAAACTCTTTTTCCATTTTTGCTTAAATACCTCATGAAAAGAAAACGGAAAGGATAGGACTGAAAATTAATGACAAAAGAGAAAACCAGCACGTCTTTAGACATTCAAGCGAGTGTTAATATTGAACAAAATAGACACTATGACCAGTGATTTAATTATTCATATCCTATATATTATCTAAGGCAACATTTTTCATGTGGTCCTAAATATTAATCAAGTAGACACATACGTATGCTATAATAAAATATACTAAAATGTGGTCCTAAATATTAGTCAAGTTGACACATACGTATGCTATAATATAATATACTTACATGGATACCGATATTGTATAA